TTTGTTTACTTTTAATGTTGGTAAGTGAAAATAATGGAAGTTCAAATCTGCTGAGAACTACGATACGCCTTGGTGGGCATTACAAGGGCAGGGCACAAACATCAGGGTAGTTTTATGGGAAGATTCAAGATATTTTTTAATGCAGATAATATTAGTTTTTAGAAAGCTTTGCAGAATTTCCTTCAAATTCTCATAATTTCGTTTTATAAACACTGTAAAATACCTTGCTGGAGCTCATGAGGATTGTTACCATCATCAAGAGTAGCACGAATGCAGCGCATTGGATCATTTTATGGTTCTAAGTCAGCGAAGGGTAATTATCAGCACTGTGTATAGGCACTCTTATTACCTAAATCATTGTCAGTCGTAGATGGAGCGCCTTAAAGAGATTCGGGAGATCTTTGTGCCACAGTAGAATGCTTTACAAATGATTTGACTTTACATCATCTATGATTTCTGACAAATTACCCCTCAATTAAACAATTAGGACAAGCTAAATGGGATAAAGACCTTTATAGACTGTTTCCATTAGACATCAACTCCTATATAGTATTGTCCGTGATAGCTAACGCTTCATCTGAGCACAGAACGATTTTCCAAATTCTATTCAAAACTTGGTGGATCGTTGCAATCACTGCATCACTTGCGAAATATCTGTGATTTGCCTTATGGAAAAACTTACCATACTACGTTAAAATATGAAATAGTTAAATTACAACAAGAAGCAGAATGTGAAAATTTTTTGCAGGACTTCTCGCGCAACCTAATTGCTTCCCTTCGACGCTGAAAGTTTACCTTTCTTTATCTTTACGTTTGATCTAGCGCTAATTTTTAGAACATAAAATATATGTCCTTTTTCTGCCAATTTGACTTGGACGGCTGAACAAATCAATTACATTAGTATTTCAATATCCACTATGAATGGTAGTCATAACTCCCGCGACAAGTTCCTGTTTTCTTTTTCAGATGAAATTGGGTCCGCTGATGATGACCAAGCGGATATGAGCTTATTAACGGGTAGAATCCGTACAGGGGCAAATCCAAATTCAGAAGAAGCCAAAAATTCGGGCGAGATACTTCCTTATGAGAAAGGTAAGCACTACTTTTTTATTTTGTAAATGGAATGCACCAAATAATTTTTAAAATCCAAAGCATTTAAAACTTCATAGGTGATTATTTCCAATTCCGCTCATGGCGTGGTCTTGATGCGGACGTGAGGTTGGACGAG